ACGTTCAAAAGTAACCTTTGCCCTTCACCTCAGTTTATCTCTTGTGTAATAGTGACTCCCATATTAGAAAACAACAAGAAGCCGGGCAGTGGTGGCGCACACCCTTAATCCCAGCACTCGGGAGGCAGAGGCAGGCGGATCTCTGTGAGTGTGAGGCCAGCTTGGTCTACAAAATGAATCCAGGACGGCCTGGAAATGTTACACAGAAAAACCCTGTGTATTTTTTTTTTTTTTAAAAAACTAAGGTGGATAGTAGTCAGGTAAATGTCTTTGATCCCAGCACTCAGGAGGTAGAGGCTGGTGGAGCTCTGTGTTTGAGACCAGCATGATCTACAGAGCAAGTTCCAGGATAGAACAACGTAGTACTCAGCATCTCTTTTTTGTTTTGTTTTGAGACAGGGTTTCTTTGTGTAACAGTCCTGCTGTCCTGGAACTAGCTGTAGACCAGACTGCCCTCAAACTAACAGAGATCTGCTTGCCCCTGTCTCCGAGTGCTGGAATTAAAAGTGTGCACCACCACTGCCTGGCGCCTCAACCTCTCATTACTGGAGATCTTAACGGGATGTTAGGCTTGGTTGTTTAGACAGGTTTTGCTGGTCGAGGCTAGCCTCAAGCTGGAAGAGTCCTGGGAAGCATGATGCCCGGCTTGGCAGTCTTCATCGTAGTGAGGCTCCTCCTTTCTCCACTCTGCCCTTCCCCACTCGGTGGTCACTGACCATCGTCCATCAAGTCCTGTGATGTGATCATGTTTGTCCCATTTCCTTCCACCACAGTTAATCAAATCAGCAAAGTTACGGTCTTAGGAAATGGGGCTTTGGGAAATTGAGTAGGTTATGAGGGCAGAGGCTTCAGGAGGATGGAATAGGGAAAAAAAGAAAGAAAACAAACTTTTGTGTCCATATGGTAGACTGTCAGAGCTGTGGGGGTTGGGACTGGAGACAGGCTTCTCACATTAACAGCACATTCTGCTTCTGCTAAAGGAGACTTTCAGGTTACTTCTTATTTATTTTCTCAGGGCCTGTGCCTGTCCTCAGCCTCTGGTTTGATTTAGAATTCTCGTGGCTATGTGTACGTGTTACAATCCTATAGCATCTGTTTACTGTTCCGTTCAGGTCAGAATGCTTTCGTGATACCCTGTTATTTACATCTGCCTAGCTTGCCCAGGCTTGCTGGGAGGAATTGAGTGCTGTCTGGGTGCAGCCTTGAAGACACGCCCGGCACACTGATTGTTAGAGGCCTTGAAAGGACTGCTCCAGGCTTTGGGGTGTTCAGTCGGAAGTGTAGCTTTGTTTAGGTTTCAGGTGGTGTGGGGAGGAGAGGGGATGGTCTTTGGCACAGTTTTGGTTTAGTGTTGAGGACAGAGAGAGAGCCTTGAGCAAAGGCAAGTTTGCAGCAGCTGTTGGGAAATGCTAAGCTGTAGCCTCAGAGTCTCTTCTCCGGTTAACCCTTTCCTACACTCAGTCATTTTAGACGCCATCTTTGCAAATCTACACCAGTCCCCCTGGATACCAACACTGTTCACCCTGCATTGAGGATGGAAATAGAAACCTCAGGAGAAATGCAGGGACCCATAGAGAGGTCAGAAATGGGTTGCAGTGGGAGGAGGGGCTGGTATTGTTAGTGCTCCATGGTTTTCTTGTTTGTTCCTTTGTTTAGTTTGTTCTGCAGTGCTGGGGTTTGAACCCATGGCCTTACTATATAGTACTGATGACCTGGAACTCACTGTGTAGACCAAGCTAGCCTCAGATCACAGAAGTCTGCCTGCCTCTGCATCCCCAGTGCTAGGATTATAGGTGTATGACAACATCACCTGGCCATTTTTTTCCTAACAAGAGGTCTGTCTCAGAGCTGCAAGTGTGGCTCCATGGTGTATTAGTTACTAGCTTAGTCTGCCCAAGGACCAGAATTCAATCCCTATTACTACCTAAAATGCTAGATGATGGATGGGTGGATGGATGGATGGTGGGTGGGTAGATGGTGGGTGGATGGGTGGTGGGTGGGTGGATGGTGGGTGGATGGGTGGTGGGTGGGTGGATGGTGGGTGGGTGGATGGTGGGTGGGTGAATGGTGGGTGGGTGGATGAATGGTGGGTGGATGGGTGGATGGTGGGTGGGTGGGTGGATGGTGGGTGGGTGGGTGAATGGTGGGTGGATGGGTGGATGGTGGGTGGGTAGATGGTGGGTGGGTGGTGGGTGGATGGGTGGGTGGGTGGGTGTGTGGATAGTGGTGGGTGGATGGGTGGATGGTGGGTGGGTGGATGGATGGTGGGTGGATGGTGGGTGGGTGGGTGGTGGGTGGGTGGATGGTGGGTGGATGGGTGGATGGTGGGTGGGTGGGTGGATGGTGGGTGGATGGGTGGATGGTGGGTGGGTGGATGGATGGTGGGTGGATGGTGGGTGGGTGGGTGGTGGGTGGGTGGATGGTGGGTGGATGGGTGGATGGTGGGTGGGTGGGTGGATGGTGGGTGGATGGGTGGATGGTGGGTGGGTGGATGGTGGGTGGATGGGTGGATGGTGGGTGGGTAGATGGTGGGTGGGTGGGTGGTGGGTGGATGGGTGGGTGGATGGTGGGTGGATGGATGGTGGGTGGGTGGATGGTGGGTGGGTGGATGGATGGTGGGTGGGTGGATGGTGGGTGGGTGGATGGATGGTGGGTGGGTGGATGGATGGTGGGTGGGTGGATGGTGGGTGGATGGGTGGGTGGGTGGGTGTGTGGATAGTGGTGGGTGGATGGTGGGTGGGTGGGTGGTGGGTGGGTGGATGGATGGTGGATGGATGGATGGTGGATGGGTGGATGGTGGGTGGGTGGATGGATGGTGGGTGGGTGGATGGTGGGTGGATGGATGGATGGTGGGTGGATGGATGGATGGTGGATGGGTGGATGGTGGGTGGGTGGGTGGATGGTGGGTGGGTGGATGGATGGTGGGTGGGTGGGTGGTGGGTGTGTGGATAGTGGTGGGTGGATGGGTGGATGGTGGATGGGTGGATGGATGGTGGGTGGGTGGATGGATGGTGGGTGGATGGATGGATGGTGGGTGGATGGATGGTGGGTGGTGGGTGGGTGGATGGATGGATGGTGGATGGGTGGATGGATGGTGGGTGGGTGGATGGTGGGTGGGTGGATGGATGGTGGGTGGGTGGGTGGTGGGTGGGTGGATGGATGGTGGGTGGATGGATGGATGGTGGATGGGTGGATGGTGGGTGGGTGTGTGTGTGGATAGTGGTGGGTGGGTGGTAGATTAAGAGGGAGCCTAGAGAGATAGTTTAGTGGTGATATCACTTGCTGCTCCTCCAGAGGACCTGACTTCAGTCCTACCAACATGCACCGCGCGGCTCACAACCACCTGTAACTCCAGCTCCAGGGATGTTTGCCCTCTTCTGGCTCCCCATGGTGTCAGTCTGTGTATTCCTTAATACTAAGGAACTGTTCTCTGCAGAACAAATGTTACTACTGCCAGACCTTGTTGGTTTTGAGACACCATGAAGCCCCAGACTGTCCTCAAATCAGGGCATCCTAGCTTCACCTCCCTCCCCCACCCCCCGTACTGGGACTGCAGGACATGCATGGCCCTGATTGCAGATCTTAGGGAAGTCAAGGTTAGTAGCTGAGTCCCTGTTTCCTTCTCATAGAAGTAGCTTAAAAAAAGAACTAAAATAATCTGATTCTTAGGTACAATTTGGACTTTAGCTGTTAAACTTTGGCATGACTCTCCAAGCCTCTGCTTCTTCATCTTAGGTGTGAGGAATCAGTCTTAATTCCTAGGGTTGCTTTAAGGAATCAACAAAACAAGACACACACAGAACACTCAGGCCAGGTTGTTTTGGAACAGGAGGAGTACTTGATGCACAGTTTAAAACAAAAAGAAAGGGCTGTGTGTGGCTCCATGCACAGGCTTGGTGGGTGAGTGGGCCTGCGTGGTTGTGGGTGGGCCTATGTGGTAGTGGGTGGATCTGTGTGGTAGTGGGTGGGATCTGTGTGGTAGTGGTGGACCTGCGTGGTAGTGGGTGGATCTGTGTGGTAGTGGGTGGACCTGCGTGGTAGTGGTGGGCCTGCGTGGTAGTGGTGGACCTGCGTGGTAGTGGGTGGACCTGCGTGGTTGTGGGTGGGATCTGTGTGGTAGTGGGTGGGATCTGTGTGGTAGTGGGTGGGATCTGCGTGGTAGTGGGTGGACCTGCGTGGTAGTGGTGGACCTGCGTGGTAGTGGGTGGATCTGTGTGGTAGTGGGTGGGATCTGTGTGGTAGTGGGTGGATCTGTGTGGTAGTGGGTGGGATCTGTGTGGTAGTGGGTGGATCTGTGTGGTAGTGGGTGGATCTGTGTGGTAGTGGGTGGGATCTGCGTGGTAGTGGGTGGGATCTGCGTGGTAGTGGGTGGACCTGCGTGGTAGTGGTGGACCTGCGTGGTAGTGGGTGGGATCTGTGTGGTAGTGGGTGGGATCTGTGTGGTAGTGGGTGGGCCTGCGTGGTAGTGGGTGGGCCTGCGTGGTAGTGGGTGGATCTGTGTGGTAGTGGGTGGATCTGTGTGGTAGTGGGTGGATCTGTGTGGTAGTGGGTAGATCTGTGTGGTAGTGGGTGGGATCTGTGTGGTAGTGGGTGGATCTGTGTGGTAGTGGGTGGATCTGTGTGGTAGTGGGTGGGATCTGTGTGGTTGTGGGTGGGATCTGTGTGGTAGTGGGTGGACCTGCGTGGTAGTGGGTGGACATGTGTGGTAGTGGGTGGGATCTGTGTGGTAGTGGGTGGGATCTGAATGGTAGTGGGTGGACCTGCGTGGTAGTGGGTGGACCTGCGTGGTAGTGGGTGGACCTGTGTGGTAGTGGGTGGGCCTGTGTGGTAGTCGATAGATCTTGCTTGAGTGTAGACAACACCTAGAAACAGGCACTTCCTCTAAGGCAAAATCCCTTGGTTTCAGTTAACCCACTGGAATGCATGTATGTAAAAATGAAACAGACAGGCTTTTAGGATGCTTTTGTCTTCATATGCTCTCTTTTTCTGTTTTGTGACAGTGCTTTTGAAGATGAGACACTGAGGCTTCGGCAGTTGAAGCTGGACAATCAGGTGAGCAGGGGCTCTCGGGGCCGTCCTGGCTGGAGCTGGTGGTCTCGGCTCTGAAGTCATGACAGGGTCTCACAGAAAGACTAGATGAGCAGGATCGCTCGTGGCTGCTCATTAAACAGGGTCTGAACTTAGTCGTCAAGCCAAAGGTCTGGGCTGTGGCAGGAGCAGGGCGATTTGACGATGGTAGCAATTAACTGGCTTTGTTAATAATCAATGAAAACCTCTGACACCTTCTACAGGAACTAGAAGAATGTTGTAGCTGGGCCTGGTAGCACTAACTGGTAATCCCTGCTCTAGAGAGACTGATCACCGTGAGGTCAAGGTCAGTCTGAGCTGCATAGGGAGACCCTACCTTAAAACACTAAAAATGATAGATAGATAGATAGATAGATAGATAGATAGATGAGTAAGTAAGTAAATAAGTAAGAGATGTATTGGCCTCCTGCTTATTGCCATAACAAAATACATGAGACTGGGCACATTACTTTTAAAAAGAAACTTACAGATTTAGAGGCTAAAGTCCAAGATCCAGCAGCTTCATCTGGTGTCTGGTGATGCCCGTCTTAGTTAGGCTTCTAATGCTGGGATAAACACCGTGACTGTAATCATCTCACAGCCTGGAGTCCATCATGAAGAAAGTGTGCTAAAGACTTCCCTAAAGGCACATCTTAGAGAGGCATTTTCTCAACTGAGATTCCTTCTTCCCAGATGGCTCTAGTTTATACCAGATTGCATAAAACTAGCCCGCACAGCCCCCTTAGTGATAACACAGCATGACAGAGACCAACAAGGAAAATAATTGGTACAGGAGAGATGCCATGTGAAAGGGCAGGAAAATAACTTTGTAGGCGGAGACTGCTTGTTTGTTTCCCCACTGCCAAGACCCAAAATAATCACACAGAAACTGTATTAATTAAAACATTGCTTGGGCCGGGCGGTGGTGGCACACGCCTTTAATCCCAGCACTTGGGAGGCAGAGGCAGGTGGATCTCTGTGAGTTCGAGGCCAGCCTGGCTACAAGAGCTAGTTCCAGGACAGGCACCAAAAACTACAGAGAAACCCTGTCTCGAAAATCCAAAAATAAATAAATAAATAAAAATAAAACATTGCTTGGCCTATTAGCTTTGACTTCTTATTAACTAACTTTTACATCTTAAATTAATCCATTTCTATTATTTTGTATTTTACCATGAGGCTTGTGGTTTGTCAGTAGGTAAGGTTCTTGTGTGTCTGTCTCCTTCGGCAGCTACATGGCATCTCCCTGACTCCACCTTTTTTCTCCCAGCCTTCAGTTTAGTTTTCCTGCCTAGCTCTATTCTGCGCTGCCAAAGACCCGAAGCAGCTTCTTTATTAACCAATGGTGGCAAAGCATATTCACAGCATACAGAGAGGGGATTCCCACATCATAACTTTTTTTTCTTTTTGGTTTCTTTGGGGCATGCATAGCAGGCCTTAGCTGGCCTCAAACTACAGAGATGCTCCTGCCTCTGCCTCCTAAGTGCTGGGATTAAAGACGTGTCCAACCCTACCCAGCTTTTTGGTTCTTGAAATAGATTCTTGCTGTGTTGCCCACCCAGGCCTCAAATTCATAATCCTCCTGCCTCCACCTCCTGAGGACTGGATTTATAGGCGTGTTCCACCACAGCTGGCACTTCTTATGACCTCTTGCTCTTGGAACCAGCTGACACCCTGGGGGGAAGGGCCCATTAATCCCTTCCCACAGCAGGCCTGCAGATGATTTATCTTTTCTACCAGGCCATAGCTTTCTCTTACTGCCTTGGAACTTGCTGTGTAGCCCAGGCTTTCTCTGAAGTCAGTCCTCCTGCCTCAGCCTCTCTGGTGCTGGGTTATGACCTCTACCCCCATTTCCCCACCCTTCAGCATGACTACACTTGACTGCATGGGGCCCTGCTTCAGCACGTGACTCTTTGGGAGACACTGTAGGTCATGTCCACACTGGAACAAAACCACTTAACAGTTTTTCCTTCTCTAGAATTTGGTCTGAGGCAGATCTCTGAGTTCGAGAGTGAGTTTCAGGACAGCCAGGGCTACACAGAGAAACCCTGTGTCAAAAAAAACCAAAAAGCAAAATTTTGGCCTGTGCTTGCTGCTGTGCTGTTTAAATTTTGTTTTGTTTTACTTTGTTTTGTTTTGGTTTTTGGTTTTTTGAGACAGAGTTTCTCTTTGTGGTTTTGGAGCCTATCTTGGAACTTGCTTTGTGGATCAGGCTGGCCTCGATCTCACAGAGATCCGCCAGCCTCTATCTCTCGAGTGCTGGGATTAAAGGCGTACACCACCATCGCCTAGCTTATTTTAATAGTGTTATTCACAGGTTTTTTTAATATACATTTTATTTATTTATTTATTTATTTATTTAATTTCTATGTGGGAAGGGGTTGGGTTTTCGCGACATGGTCTCATCCTACAGCCCAGGCTGTCCTCAAACTACCAACAGTTCTGCCTCAGTCTCCTGAGTATTGCAATTGCAGGTATACCCTACCCTGCCTAGCTGTGTTTGTTTCCTTTACTGGACTAATAGAATAAGAACCAAGGACATATTTTTTTAGTAACATATTTTTATTTTATGTGCATTGGTGTCAGATCCCCTGCAACTGGCTCTTCAGACAGTTGTGAGCTGCCATGTGGGTGTGGGAATTGAACCCAGGTCCTCTAGAAGAGCAGTCAGTGCTCTTAACCACTGAGCCATCTCTCCAGCCCCAATTTATTTTTATCTTATGTGCATTGGTGTTTTGCCTGCGTGTATGTCTGTGTGAGGGTATTGGGTCCCCTAGAACTGAAGTTATAGACAGTTCTAAGTTGCCCTGTGGATGATGGGAATTGAACCCGGGTTCCTTGGAAGAACAGTCAGTGTTCTTAACTGCTGAGCCATCTCTCCAACCCCCCAAGAACAGATATTAAGAGATACATTTATTTTTGATTGACACATAGTTATTGTACATATCTGTTCGGCACTGCGACATTGCCTGCCAAGTTTGTTTATGTGCATGTGTGCTTGTCTCTGTGAAAGGGAGTCAGAGGACAGACAGCCTTTGGGTCTCACTTCTCACCTGTCTAGCCATCCAGGTTAGCTGCTCAGGATTTCTGCAGAATCCCAGTCCCTGCCTCCCATCGCCTCCCGATGTGCAGGAATTAAAGGCACGGCTACCATGCCTGGCTCCCACTAAGTGTATATTTGATGATCATTCCATCAGCGTTCCCTAGCCTAGGGACATGCAACAGTCTTTCATTACATCCTGCATGAAGGAAGGAAGGCGTGTGCAGCGCTCTGCAGTAACACGCTGTAAAGATTAGGCAACTTAGAACTATACCTGACATCCGTCACTTTCATGTTTGCTTTTCTATGTGATTTTTTTTTAATATTTGTCAAAACCATTTAATAATCACGTGAGTCCACATGGGGTCTACCTGACAAATCTGATGGCATACAAAGCAAAGTGAAGTCTAACCAAGAAAACCGTGAGTTCTGAATCTAGTCAACACCTAAGAACAGGCCTGGGGAGAAGGCCCAGGGTGCGGGCTGAATCCTGCAGTAGAGTTGCCTTGGTTACCGATGCGAGCCAGAACTCAGTGGTGGGAGGGTGGTGACTGCAGAGGGAGCAGGTCACCTGCAAAGCAGAGGAGGAATCGGCAAAGATGAGATGACATTTTCCACCGTGGAGGTCAGCAAGGACCAGTCCCCGTCATGGATACCACACAGAACAGTATTCCAGACTCAGACCATCAATTGTGACCCCTTTGATCCTACCTGAGACTCCCCTAGAATCTTTAGAAATTACCAAAGGTTAGTGGTGCCTGCTAGCATGTGCCTGTAATGGCAGCACTGAGCAGGTAGAAGAGGATGGTCACAGGTTCAAAGCCAGCCTCAGCTGCATAGCAAATCCCTGCCTCTAACATTGGTGTTGCATTTGCTCATGGCTTTTGCCTGCCCTCTCTAGCCTTAAATCACCCCTGATTTCTGCAAGACCAGATACAGTCCAGATGAGACGCTGGACCACTTGAGTTCCCACCAATGCCGGAGGCTTTTGGTCTCCAGCGCTTATTGGTTCTTAGCATCTCAGTGGGCATGAAGTAGCAGCTGGGTCTTCATCTCCCTAATGACCAATAGTGCTAAACTGCTCATAGCTTAAAACAAAACAAAACAACAACAACAGGATCTAGCTGTGTGGCTCTGGCTGTCCGAATTCCAGTTCCAGGAAATCTGCCTCCGTCTTCTGAGCTGTGGCCATGAGGCATGCACGTGGGGCACAGGCATACATGTAGACAGAACTATTGTGCACAAAGAAAAACAAATATAATTTAAAAATAGTGTATGTGACAAAGCTTTCCTTTCTACCTTACTGGGGCATTTCTCTCATATCCATTCCTGCCTTTTTGCCTGACTTTGCTTTATCTTGCTGCTGTTTTGGTTTGGTTTAGAGGAACTCAATCTCCCCCTGTTAGCCAGTCCTGGGATCAGTGTCCTCCTGCTTCAGCCTCCAAGTGAGTTTCCACGTCATAACCATGACTTTGCATATATAGGGTGTGTATGTTGATTTTTGCCAATACAACACAAGCTGACATCATCTAAGAGGGACCCTCGGTTGAGAAACAGCGCCCATCCGATGGCGCGTAGGCAAGCCTGGGGGCATTTCTTGATTGGTGATTAATGTGAAAAGGGTTAGCCCACTGTGGGGCGGGGCCATTCCTGGGATGGTGGTCCTGGGGTATATAAGAGAAGACTGAGCCCCTGAGGAGCAAGCCTGGCAGCAGCATTCCTCCATGACCCCTACTCTGTTCTTGCCGCCACCTGCCTGTCCTGACTTGCCTTTTGTGGGAATGAAGTCTCTCCTTCCAGGTCAGATTGGGTCATGGTGTTCATCACCACCACTGAAAATCACTAAGACGCAAGCAAGCGTCCTGCAGAGTTGCCCCAGCCCGGCTCTTTATCTCTTGTCTACTCGTAAACTGAATTTCCCTGCTCAGAATGTCCCAACTATCTTTTCTTTCTTCTCAATTCTGATCCAAGTTCATTTGATTTCAATTTGTAAGATGAACAAGAATGCAAAACTGAGGTTGGCTGTGGCAAAACATCTGAATAATCCCAAGATTTGGGAGGTTTGGGTAGGAGTGTAATTAGCTCCAAGTAATCCCAAGATTTGGGAGGTTTGGACGAGATGGTTGTTAGCTGAAAATCAGTCTGGAATACATAGGAAGACCCTGTCTAAAGAGGAAAAAGCCTGCCCCGAGTATTTCCATTTCTTCATTTTGTAGACCAGGTTGGCCTCGAACTCACGAGGTCTGCCACCCGCCTGAGTGCTGGAATTAAGGATATGCACCTCTATGCTCAGCTGGCATGTTTGCATCTCTTGTGAAACAAAAAAGAGATTCACAGTAGCTCTTAGGATTAGTTTTTAAAAAGAAAAGAAAGGCCGGCTAAACTATTCCATGAGGGTAGGCTGTGCATTGTAATACCGCATTTTCTCTCTAGAGGGCGCTGCTGGAGAAGAAGCAGAGAAAGAAGCGCCTTGAGCCCCTTATGGTCCAACCAAACCCCGAAGCCAGGCTGCGCCGGTTAAAGCCTAGAGGTGGCGAGGAGCACACGCCTTTGGTGGACCCTCAGACGCCTCGCAGCGATGTCATCCTACATGGTGTGTATTTAGACAGTGCCACCCACGTATGGCTTAAGTACGATTTTCATAGACCCAAGATGAGGCAGGAGAATGCAGACACGGTGCACAAAGACAGTACCAGCTCCCTTCCTAAGATCCTTCCTTATCTTTATAATCACGTTCTGGGTCTTTGGGAAGAGAAATCGTGGAAGATGCCTTCAAGTTTATGTCCAACCTAGAATTATTGATTTTGATGCAAAGTGAATGGCACTGTCCGAAATGAATGAATGAATTCTCAAAATGAATGAAAAGTCTGACCCTGAGCCACACGCCCAGCCTTGGCCTCACTCCTAGGTTCTGAAGTACAGTTTGAGTAGCCAAACCTGTTGGTAGACTCGGTCCTTGTCCTCGACACACGTGCTTATGACGTTAAGGAGGAGAACTGAGGTGGCTGGGTAGCCCTTGATTGGCTGCATCCCGCAAAGCACCCAGCTCACTTCCGGTCCACATTCACTCTTTCTTCGCGCTCCTAGGCATCGATGGGCCAGCTGCTTTCCTTAAGCCAGAGGCTCCGGATTTGGAAAGCAAGCCTCATGTTCTCTCAGTGGGCTCCCCTGCGCCAGAAGAGGCCACCGACGGAAGTGCAGGTGGGGAAAGCCCTCCAGTGGAGACCGCCTCCAAGCCAGACCTCCAGGAGATTCTCCAAAAACATGGTGAGGGTGACGCTCGGTTTACGGCAGGGTGCGTGCCTTCCTCTCATGGGCTTACAGTCTAAGTGACCCAGACTTGGGTAGTGTGGCTTGGGTTCCAGCATCTTTGACATCTAAAGGGGGATACTTGGAACAGTCATCGTTTGTGCTGTTGTCTGAGAAGACAAGATAATGAAATACAGAGTAGTCATTATCATTTATGACTTTTCATTTTGCCCTTTTTTTTTTTCTTAAACCTTCTTTCTTTCGAGACAGGGTTTCTCTGTAGCTTTGGAGCCCATCCTGGAACTAGCTCTTGTAGACCAGGCCAGCCTTGAACTCAGAGATCCGCCTGCCTCTGCCTCCTGGGTGCTGGGATTAAAGGCGTGAGCCACCATCACCTGACCTTATATCTAGTTTCTTTTTTTTTTCTTTTTTCTTTTTCCCCCCTTTAGACAAGGTATTGCCATGTGACCCAGGCTGGCTTCCAGTCTGAGATCCTCCTGTCTCAGCCTCCTGAGTGCTGACACCGTAGACATTTATCACCATGCTCAGCTATATAACTTGCCCTTCAAGTGAGGAGAGTGAAAGCCAGCAAGGAATTAGTATATGCTAGGTACTTGCCTTGCCAGCCCCTCCTGGGAGAGTGGTTGGATACCGAAACAGGTTCATCCGTTAGAAATAGCTTCTGAGAGTCGGGGAGCTGGCTTACTGGTTAAAGACACCCACTGCCGAGCCCAACAGCCAGAGTTCAATCCCTGGAACCCCATAAGGGAGGAGGAGGCTTAATTACCCTCCATACTCACCTGGCAAACCTGTCAACCTGAGTTTAAACAGAGCCCATGTTGGGGAAGGAGAGAAGCACTCACAGAATAAACAAATTAAAATGTAACTTTTAAAGTTTTAAAGAAGAAAATGGGTTCTGTGCGAAATTGTATGGAGCTTTATTCTCAGATGTCCTCGTAGAACGTTTATTCTGGCTGAGGCTTTGGGGCCTGGGGAATGCAGCCCAGATTGTGGAGCGCTTGCCTAACAAGCCTGAAGTCCTGGGTTTGATTCCCAGCACTGTGTGTAGAGATGCGTGCTTGTATTCCCACCACTTGGAAGGTGGAGGTAAGGCGTTCCGTTCAAGGTTCTCCTTGGCTGTATAACAAGTTCAGGGCTATCCTGGACTACATGAGACCCTGTCTGAAGAATAAGTAAATGTGGGTTTGTGCTAGAAGTAAAAAGGTGCCTGAGAGTCCCTGGAGAGCCCCTAACCCAGACAGAGTGGTTGGCAAGCTGCCCAGAGGAAGTGCGAGGGCCTGCAGCAGGAACTGGTCCATTGAGGTGACAGTGGAGCATGGAGCAAGATGCAGGAGGGTGGGAGGGAGCATGGGTAGGGCTCAGAGATTTAGGCACACACCTTTACTCCCAACACTTGCAGAGGCAGAGGCAGGAGGATCTCTGTGAGTTCAAGGTGAGCCTGGTCTAGTAGAGAGTTCCAGGACAGCCAGGGGCTCCATAGTGAGACCCTCGTCTCAAAAATCAAAACAAAACAAATGTTAGTTCCGTAGAATGTGGGAGGCCACAGCAAGACTTTGGAGTTTGCCTAAAGCATAATAGGAGGCGGTGTTGGTGGTGAGACAAGGTATCTGTAGCCCAGGCTGGTCTCCAGCTTGTTATGTAGCCAGGGATAGCCTTGACTTTCTGATCCTTCTGTTCTGCCACTGTCGCCTGAGTACTGGGATTATAGACATGCACTGCCATGTCTGGTTCCAGTTAGCAATTTATTATTGCATTTTTATTTGTGCGTGCGTGTGTGTGTGTGTGTGTGTGTGTACACGCCGTGCACACATGTGGCAGTCAGGCAACTTTAGGGAGTCAGCTCTTTCTTTCCACCATGTGGATCCAGGAATCAAACTTGGGTTGTCAACCTTGGCAGCAAGCACCTTTGCCCACTGAGCCATCTCGCTGGCCCCAGTTGGGAAGGTTTGAAGCAAGAAAAATTGAAAACCTCTCTATTTCCAGTGTGATCTTCTCAGACAACAGATGGCAAATGCTGACAGGCTTTCCTTTTCTGCCAGGCATCTTGGGTAGTGTGAACTATGACGAGGAGACCGACAATGAGGAAGAGGAGGGGGACAGTCTCAGCTCCCCGTCAGCTCATTCGGAAAAAGAGAGTTCTGTGGCCGGCCAGAAAGCAGCCTCGGTAGGTGGTGCCGAGCCAGTGTCCTTTTGCAGCTGGTGTGATCATCCTCAAACACAGAGAAATGTTTACGCCGAGGCTCGTGATGCTCTGTTTGACTTACCAGATCGGGAGGGGACTGAGAACAGGGGCAGGATTTTGTCGCTAAGTGTCTGACACAGGGCGTGAAGTTTGTACCCGATTCTGGTTGCTCACAGAAAACTCTGTTTTCAGGAGACGGGAGCTGCTGGTGTCACAGCCCAGCAAAGCGATGCCCAGCTTGGAGAAGTGGAGAATTTAGAGGACTTCGCCTACAGCCCTGCCCCGCGGGGTGTCACCGTGAAGTGTCGAGTAACTCGGGATAAGAAAGGCATGGACCGCGGCCTCTTCCCCACCTACTATATGCACCTGGAGAGGGAGGAGAACCGGAAGGTACGGGGTCCATCGTAGGCTGTTCTCTTCTTTTCTCTGAGCACTGGTGATAAAATGTCATCCACAGCAGGCAGACACCCTTCTGCTAAGCCCTTAACCCCCAGATGATCCTGAGAGAAACAAGGCTGTCATGGGAATTGGTTATGCCCAGGGAGTCCCACTAGTTAGCCATTGTCATCTGAAAGAGGGCTGTGTACCCAGAAGTCCTGTTCTTAGTGTCTCATGTCAGAACTAGTCACGGTCAGAAATCTGATTCCTCACCCCTGTCCACCCTCAAGAAAAGCTTCTGTCCACAATGTAAGGAAGTAGAGAAGTGTTTCCCCGTGCTACGATGGAGCTCAGCCCCCTGAATGCCAGTAGCTGCCCCACCACGGAGCTGCCCCAACCCAGCAAGAGCGTAGGAGTATACTTGTTTTCACCTCCCTACCTCTTTCTCTTTCTCGATAAGGGATTCATGTAGCCCAAGGATATCCTCAAACTTAGAAACTGAGTGTGACTTGTTGTTTCAGATCCTGCTGCCCTGGCCTTCCAAATGCTAGATTTCATTTGTTTGTTTATTTATTTTGTGTTTTTTTGTTTTTGTTTTTGTTTGTTTGGTTGGTTTTTTTTTTTTTTTTTTTGGTTTTTCGAGACAGGGTTTCTCTGTGGCTTTGGAGCCTATCCTGGAACTAGCTCTGTAGACCAGGCTGGTCTCGAACTCCCAGAGATCCGCCTGCCTCTGCCCCCCGAGTGCTGGGATTAAAGGCGTGCGCCACCACTGCCCAGCTTTTTGTTTGTTTGAGACAGCCTCTCTGTGTGTGTAGCCTTGCTATCCTGAAACTCAATCTGTAGACAAGGCTAGCCTTGAATTCAGAGATCCACCTGCCTCTGCCTCCCAAGTGCTACCACCACCTGGCTATTTTGTTTTTTGTTTGTTTTGGTTTGGTTTTTGAGACAGACAGATTCTATCTGTGTAACTCTGGCTGTCTTGGAACTCTCTCCAGGTAGACCAGGCTGGCTTTGAACTCACAGAGATCCTCCTGCCTCTGCCTCCAGAGTGGTGGGAGTAAAGGTATGCACCACCATGCCTGGCCTAAGATCCACTTCTTTGCACACGGAGAGATAGTGGTAAACACTTGTGGTCTCACTGGACTTGGGTTTGACTGACATTTTTCTTCTCTCAGATATTTCTTCTTGCTGGTAGGAAGCGGAAAAAGAGCAAAACCTCCAACTACCTGATCTCCACAGACCCGACAGACTTGTCTCGTGATGGGGAAAGTTACATCGGCAAACTCAGGTGATGACGCCTCAGCTGGCCAGCCCAGTCTTCTGTGGTTCTGTAACTCCAGGATAGTCGCTGTTTTATTCCTACCCACACCCCTGGTTCTCTGTCACTGAAGATTGAACCAAAGGCCTCACACATGTGAAGCAATTGCTTTACCACTGAAATACATCCCAAAACTTTGCTATTGTTTGTTTGTTTTTAAATGATTCAGATATACAGATGTGTTCATCTTAAAAAGAAAAACTAGCTGGGCAGTGGTGGTGCGTGCCTTTAATCCCAGCACTTGGGAGGCAGAGGCAGGCAGATTTCTGTGAGTTCAAGGTCAGCCTGGCCTACAAAGCAAGTTCCAGGAAAGCCTGGACTGTTACACAGAAAAACCCTGTCTTAAAAAAAAAGAAAGAAAAAAGAAAAAAAAAACTAAAAGAAAATGTTGAGGCCAGTCATTATCACACACACCTTTAATACCAGAATCTGGGAGACAGAGCAGGTGGACCATGAGTTCCAGGCCAGCCAGGCTACTTAAAATAATAATAGTAATAATTTATTTTATTAAATTATTTATTAATTGTTGGGCTGGAGAGATGGCTCAGCAATTAAGAGCACTGGCTGCTCTTCCAGAGGTCCTGAGTTCAATTCCCAGCAACCACATGGTGGCTCACAGCCATCTGTAATGAGATCTGATGCCCCCTCTGCCCGCAGGCATACATGGAAGGAATACTGTATATATAATAAATAAATAAAATACTTTTTTAAAGTATTTATTAATTGTTAATGATTTATTTATTAAATTACTTTAAATAAAAATTAAAAGAAGGAAAATCTTGGGCCAGGCATAGTAGTTTATGCCCGTCATCCCAGAACTTAGGGGACTGAAGCAAAAGGCTTTTCCACAAGTTCAAGGCCAGCCTAGGATAGAGAGGAAGACCATAAATAAATAAATAAATAAATAATTAGATAAATAATTAGATAAATAATTAAATAAATAAGAAATCTAAGTCCTTCCTTGTGAGTCTTTGTAAAGATGGTGTCTGTGCTGCTCTTAGGCTGGCAGTCTGTAAACAGAGACTGTTCTTTCATTTTCTGGCCACCCAAACCCAAATAATCACAAAATCTATATTAATTACAACACTGTTTGGCCAATTCCTTAGGCATATTCCTAGCTAGTTCTTACATCTAAAGTAACCCAATTGTGTTATTTTTTATTTTACCACGAGGCTATGGTTTGTTACCTTTCTCCTTCAGCAGCTACATGGAGTCTATCTGACTCTTCCTTCTTTCTCCCTGCATTCAGTTAGTTTTCCCGCCTACCTATGTTCTGCCCTTACCAAGGCCAAAGCAGCTTCTTTATTAACCAGTGGCAGTAAAACATATTCACGGCATACAGAGTGGAATCCCACATCAGCGGGCAGAGAGGTGTCCCCTCTCTTTGTCTCTTCAAGAGGAAAATGCAGATCATCATGGTAGCTTTTTCTCCTGATACTAGATCCAATCTCATGGGGACCAAGTTCACAGTGTATGACCATGGTGTGAACCCAGTCAAGGCCCAGGGTCTGGTGGAAAAGGCTCACACCCGGCAGGAGCTGGCCGCCATCTGCTATGTAAGTGCTGCCCTTGCTTCAACCTGGTGCTCCTGCCTGGTGCTCCCACATAGTGCTCCATCTTCAGTGCTCCTCCCTCAGGCCCAAAGCCAGCTCGGCTCCCTCCTCCCTGGATGTTTCTTTGATCTTCCTTTAGGAGCTGGCATCATTTCCTTCTTGTATTTGAGTTTTAATTGGATTTGGACCACCAAGTTCAGTTATGATTTACTCTCCACAAACCTCTCTTCTCTTTTCCTGATGCCTTGCTTTTCGGCCAGAGGCTACATTAAAAATTAGGTTAAAATTAGAGCCTTCTCTTTGCATTTAACGTTCCCCTTCCCTCCCTCCCTTCCCTTCTTTTCCTTTCCCTTCCCCTCCCCCTTCCCTTTTCCTTCCTCTTCCCCTTTCTTTCTTTCTGTAGATGTTGTTTTGGTTTGGTTTTTTCTTTTGAGACAGGGTCTTCTTATATACCCTAGCCTTGCTGCATATTCCAGGCTGGCCTCAAACTCTCAACCTTCCTGCTTCAACCTGCTGAATTCTGGGATTAAAGGTGTGTACCACCATGGCTGGCTTGCTTTTCTTTCTTTCCTTCCTTGACAAGGTCTCACTGCTTTACCTAGGGTAGCCCCAAACTCCTGGGCTCAAACAATCCTCTCACTTCACCCGCCTAAGTGCTGGGACATGTATGTGCAGGTGTGTGCCGCCACTCCTGACTTCTGTGTCTGGTTCTCAGGTTCTGTGTTTAGCTCCAGCAAAGAGATGAAACTGATGTTGGTACTCTCAAGGCTGGCAGCATTTTCTGTACCAGTGGAGGTTTCCTGTAAAAGCAGATTGAGGTTTCTCCTCCCCTTCTGTTTCCAAATTCTGCCTTATTTTGCTGTCTTTCAGGAAACAAACGTACTGGGTTTTAAAGGTCCCAGGAAAATGTCTGTGATCATTCCAGGGATGAATATGAGTCATGAACGCATCCCATTTCGGCCACGAAATGTAAGTAAAAATACATTCACAGTGAGACCAGGTTTCAAAGACAGAAGAAAAATTATATTCCATCAATAAAGGTCTCTGGAAGACAGTGATACACCTTGAGTACAATAATACTGCACAGAAGAGACCAGTTAAAAAAGACAAGAAAAAAGCATTGCTTCTTCTGAACCAGGCTTCTGCTCTGGATCTCCAGGATGGAATGTTCCAGAGATGCTGACTTGAGAAATGGCCACATGGCATATCAGCGTCTTAAGGCTGGGTCTGGAGAGCTGGCCCAGTGGTTAAGAACACTGGCTATTCTCCCAGAGGACCCAGGTTCAATTCCCAGCGCACATATTGGGTGGCTCACACCCATCTGTAACTTAAAATAGAAATCAGTAATTGTTTCTAAATTAGAAAAGATGTTTTAAAGGATTGCAGATTCTCTCTGCAATCTGGAGGAGAGATGTCTCAGAGGTTAAGAGCTCTGACTGCTCTTCCAGAGATCCTGAGTTCAATTCCCAGTAACCACATCGTGGCTCACAACCATCTGTAATGAGATCTGGTGCCCTCTTCTGGCCTGCAGGCAGACATGCAGGCAGAACACTGTATACATAGTAAATAAATAAACTTAAAAAAAAGAACGGCAGAGCTGGTGCTGGTGCTCGCCTTCAGTTCTCTGTTGCTGTTTCTGCGTGTCCCTGTTGTGACTACACGACATTTTCCCTCCACACAGGAGCACGAGAGCTTGCTTTCAAAGTGGCAGAACAAATCCATGGAGAACCTGATTGAACTGCACAACAAGGCCCCAGTTTGGAGTGACGACACCCAGTCCTATGTCCTCAACTTCCACGGCAGAGTTACTCAGGCATCAGTGAAGAACTTTCAGATAGTCCACGGAAATGACCGTGAGTACGGGGAAGGGGCTGGGTGGGTGGAGCTGGGAAGGCATGCCAGGAGGGAGTGGCTAGAGAAACCGTGCCAGGAGGGGGAGCCTGAAGAAATGAGATCTTGAAAAAGACAGAGCCGCAGGGCCAGAGGAGTGTGAGCGTCCTTCTGTGGCATGGTAAAGAACTCTTGGTGAAGCCGGCCAGGTGACTGCAGCACTCGATCACGTCTGGGTCCGCCAGCTTCTCTGGGCTTCCCTCCTGTCCTCCATGTTAGTCGGGAATAATTTCCAAGCCTGTAGGGAGAAGAATAGAAGTAGAAATGTCTAGTTTTACCTTTTTGAGTCAGGGTCTTGCTATGCAGGCTCAGATGGTGGAGCTGTGATCTTCCTGCCTCATCCTCCTGAATGCTGGGATTACAAGAGTGTGTTGCCACACCTAACTGCAAGCTTCCTACTTTATCTATCTGTCTGTCTATCTGTCTGTCTATCCATCTATCTATCTATCTATCTATCTATCTATCTATCTATCTATCTATCTTTTAATGTTGTGCTAGGGTTAGAACTTGGTACCTGCCACAACCTAGCCAGGCACTGTACGGAGCCGTTTTCCCTCCTCTTGCCTATTTTAAAGAGACCATGGTTAGCCCCGCCGCCCACCCCCATCTGCAGAACAACCGCATGTTATACTCTAACGTGTCCATTTCTTTCTGTCTCCAGCCGACTACATCGTCATGCAGTTTGGACGCGTGGCTGATGACGTGTTCACACTAGACTATAACTACCCACTGTGCGCTCTGCAAGCCTTTGCCATCGGGCTGTCCAGCTTCGACAGCAAGCTGGCTTGTGAGTGAGAAACGAGAAGTAGGGGACTTCCTCACCGCAGAGCCTTCGGCAGGAGCAGAAAGCGGCTGCCCTTGATCTGCCCAGCACAGGAGAGCAAGATTCTGCCCCTCTCGGGGTTGTGTGTGTGTGTGTGTGTGTGTGTGTGCGCGCGCGCGTGTTCATACATACATATACGTATACACGTGGATGCACGCTTGCACACACTCATTTACACCTTCTCTGAGCTTCAGAGACCACGTCATAGATCACAGCTTCATGTGGGTGAGAGATGACTTAAAGCACAGGGAGGCAGGTACCTGGGCACACTGGCGACTCCTGACTGCACACAGATTCTGTGTAGGGTGCAGCTTCCCTGTGCTCAGGCACTTCCAACTCAATCAGGATCTAATAGTTGGGCCTCGTGTTTTGAAGATCCTTTAGCCTCTAAGACAGGAGCCTGCAGACTTTCTCAGCCAATGGTCTGATAGTGTCTCTTTCACTGTCTCCAATTAGCCTCTTGGTTTTTGTTTATGTTTTTGTTTTTTTCGAGACAAGGTTTCTCTGTACCTTTGGTGCCTGTCCTGGAACTAGCTCTGTAGACCAGGCTGGCCTCGAACTCACAGAGATCCTCCTGCCTCTGCCTCCCAAGTGCTGGGATTAAAGACATGCGCCGCCACCACCCAGCCCAGTTAGCCTCTTTAGCACAAAAACAGCCATAACCAGTTGGTGCATAAAGAGTTTAACTGTGTCCCGATAAAACTTTCTTTACAAAGTGGGCATTGACCTAGTTTGGCCTGGGACTCTGGTTTGCTAGCCTGCCTCGGTGCGGCCCTGTACTCTGAGGTTGAAGCATCTGCTAGAATGTAAGTAGAGAAGGGGGCAGAGTTTGCTGATTAGGAGCAGCAGACTGACTATTTTTGTTTTGTTTTGTCTTTCCCGAAACCGGGTTTCTCTGTATAACAGCCTTGGACGCCCTGGAACTCACTTTGTAGACCAGGCTGACCTTGAACTCACAGAGATCCGCCTACCCCTGCCTCCGCCACCCAAGTGCTGGGATTAAAGGCGTGGGGCACTGCCGCCTAGCAACAGATTGGCTCTTAGAAGTACTTGTCTACTATTGGTCCCTTTTACCTCATGGTGATGATGACTATAGATAGAGTCATCTGCCGTCAGGGCTGGGGAAGCTCAAACCAGTGTCGTATTCTTTTTCTGGGTCAGGTGGCACTAGCTTGTCCCTGGGGTCTGGGAAGGCTCTCATGTCCCAGCCTCTCTCTTCCCTGTCCTTAGAGCAGGGTGGCAGCAGTAATCTCAGCAGAGTGACTGGCCAGACCTCTGGAAGTCTTGCTCTCCAGCGTCTTCGTCTAGTGTCGGAGGTGACAGGACTGCCTCACTGACACTCCACAGGCCTTGCCTGGTTGGTTTTGTCCTCTGGCCTTCAAGCCTGGCCCGCCAGTGCAGGCCCAACTCGGCTCACTGAGGCTTCCAGATCATGAACACTTCACAGCAAATCATGAAAAATTCTTCCAGGTCGCCAGCCCAGGACGTACTGAGCTTGAGAATTCCAAAGCTTGGACCCTGCATTCAGTGGTCGTCAACTCCCAAACTGCTTCCCCGCACGGGTGAAGGGTTGCGGCTGCTGCCCCATGGTTTTGCCCATGTGGAGGAGGTCCCTTCGTCCTGAATCCTGTTGCTCCCTGCTCAGCACCAAGCCTAAAATCCGGGAGGCGGAGACCTGTGTTCACTGGTGTCCTGTCTGTCCCTTCAGATCACTGATTTCTGCCTCAGGCGTGCTTCCCATAAGTGCCTTGTTCGTAACCGTGCTCTGAAGCCTGACACACCTCCGCCACAACGGTCCCTGACAAGCCACCTTTGTTCCTTTGTCTCCCCCTAAATGGTGTGGGGGCCGTGAGCCAGTGGTTCTAATCTTTGTGTCTAGTTTAGAGCACCGTATTCTCCCATTTCCCGGACTCTCTGCTTGAATATGTAGGTGATCAGTTTTACATAAATCATATTTATACCTTTTGTATGCCATATAAATAAAGATAATTTATATAAAAATGATGTCTCCTTCTTCCCCGAATCCCACCCCTTGGACTTCCTCCTGTTGCATTCTGTGGGAGTTTGAGCCAGTGTTAGCAGAGTTTGATCCTGGGAAACCTGTTTGGGAGAGCATATAGAGACATTGTACTCCAGAGCTCTCTGTGGGGATCAAGCAACTGAGAGCAGAATGCAAGGGGCACTGGCTGGGCCAGGTTGCGTCATCTTTGACAGCTAATCGGTCAGCCTCCTGAATCTTTGGTTGGTGGCGTTCACAGATGCAGCAAAAAAAGTAGAATAGCTAACAGTAAAAAAAACAAAAAACAAGAACCTCACCTCCTACTTGCGTGTATGGGTGTGTGTGTGTGTGTGTGTGTGTGTACTTTTTAGACAGGGTGTTGGGTACCCAAGGCTGACCTGGAATTCACTGTGGAGCCCAGGCTGCCTTGGCACTCACATCCACCCTACCTCAGCCTCCCAGGTCTGACCGCAGGGCTGGGTCACCACACCACCTCCTCACGTTTAAGGGTTCCCTTGCATTAGCACATGAAAAGAAAGCACGTCCTTCAGCAGCAGTAAAGACAGGGAAAGCCGAAAGCCCCCCGCTGAGAATTTAGTTCTTAATAGCCTGGTTTTTCCTTTTGTATAACTCTATGTGACTAAGGTCCATGATGGCTTTGGTTGTGGGTCTTTGCTTGTGTCTGTGTTTGTGCACGTGTGTACCTGGGCTCACAGAGGCCTTAGAGGGCACTGACTGTGCTTTAGCTGGAGTTACAGACTGTCGGGAGCTGTTCTGTGGGTGCTGAAGACTGAACTCTGGTCCTCTGGAAGAGCAGCCAATGCTCTTAGCCACTGAGCCGTCTCTACCCTCTGCCTCTGTCTCTTGAGTGTTGAGATTCAAAGAGACTTTTTGTGTAACAGTTTTATTCAACATTTAGTGATCAGTCTTTCTTTCAGTATTAGTGATGGAATCCAGGGCCTCGTGTGCCAGCTCACACTCTTAGCCAAAAGAAAGGATCCAAATTGAGCATGGGGACATGCCTGTAATCCTAGAATTTGGGCCGCTGAGCGCGGAAGCTCTTGAGTTTGAAGCCGGCTTGGGTTACATACTGAGTAATTATTCACATACTCCTATGTGAATAATTCTTCCTCTGCTCCTCTTCCCCCTCCTCCTCCACTTCCTTCTTCTTCCTCTTCCCTCTTTCATCCTTTCTTCCTTCTCCTCCTCCTTGCCCTAGCCGACTTGGAACTCACTATATATACTAGGCTGGTCTTGAACTCACAGAGCTCTGTCCGCCTCTACCTCTTGAATGCTGTGATTAAAGTTAGTTGCCACTATTCTCAGTCTTTAAAAAAATCTCACGTTGCCCACAGCTATACTGTAACCATGTAGTTGAGGATACACCTGACCATGGCCTCTTTCGCAGGTGGCTGTGTTATATAGACCCGGTCATGTGCACGTGGTGTGTGTAGGTACACAGGTATGTGGGGACCCAAGGTCAACCTCAAGTGACATTCCTTAGGTGTCATTCTCATTTTTTTGAGAAAAGTTCTCTGACAGAGGCTCCCAGGTTAGGCTAGGCTGAATGGCCAACGGCGCCAGGGACTAGCCTGTCTTCCTCTGAGAGCTGAGATTACAAACCAGGCTGGGCAGGTAAGTCAGTGTGAATTTGAGGCCAGCCTAGTCTACATGAGTTCCAGAGCAGCCAGAGCTACGTAGAGAGTCCCTATCTCAAAACAAAACCCCCATAAGCCAGGCCTTTCTAAGCTTTCCTAGTAAGAGCTCTTTTACCAACTGAGCCACTCCCCCACCCTACCCCACCCCTAAATAAACATCTGTTTCACTATGTATGTCACTGGTTAGGTTGACACTTGTGATTTCTTCTGTCCTATATGTAATTTTCTGAGGGCACAGAGACATCCACTAAGGAAACACTGGGACACTGCAGGCCACCCTGTTCCCAGCCTCTGGCCCTTTCTGGTCTCCATTTATCATGGACTGGCTGCTGTTTTGTTTTTAAGTCCCAGTCTTGAAGGGCAACAGGGTATCACATGCCTGTAATTTCAGCACTACAGTGGCGGAGGTCAGAAAGGGGGACTTTGAGGCCAATCTGGTCTACATAGCCTGACAAACTAGCAAAAGTCCCAATCTGCAAAGGACAGGATTTCAGTGCCACAGCAAATGGCCTTTGTTATTAAAGACTGTTTTGTGGCGCCACCTGCGGTCAATAATGCACATGACAAGTCCTTAAAAGCTCGAGTGACCTCCACACCATTCTATTACAGAGTAGCTCTTGAGGTATTGAGGACACAGTAAACTTTATTTACTTACTAACTTATTTGTTTTTTGATTGATTGATTGTCAGGGGATTGAGTCTTGATAGTCAAACTGTCCACAAGCTACACGCCTGGCGCTACTTTTTTTTTTTTTTTTTTTTGGTTTTTTGAGACAGGGTTTCTCTGTAGCTTTGGAGCCTGTCCTGGAACTAGCTCTTGTAGACCAGGCTGGCCTCGAACTCCCAGAGATCCGCCTGCCTCTGCCTCCTGAGTGCTGGGATTAAAGGCGTGCGCCACCACTGCCCGGCTGCTAAATACTTTTAAAATTAATGTCAGGGCCTAGAGAGATGGCTCAGAGGCTAAGAGCACTTATAACTTTTCCAGAGGACCTAGTCTTCACATGACTGCTCATAACCTTCTATAACTCCAGGTCCAGCGGGCGGACACCCTCTTCTGACCTCAGCAGGTACCAGGAATACACATGGTGCACAGACATATTGATGAACCAGCCTGCCTCCATGTTAGGCTCAAAAGCTATCTTATTGTAAAGACAAACTAAAGTTTATTCCTGTTTATGATTAAACCTCTGTTTCTAAGGGATTGGTCTATGCCTACCTGTAACCTTAACTACAAATGGTTCTGAACTGCCTATCCCAGGAAACAGCAACCATGTCTTTGTTTCAAAAAGTTGTTATGACTACCTGTTGTTATGATGACCTGGTAGCCACCTTGCAATCGAGCCTTTGTTTCAGGAGGTCATTAGGACTAATGTGTAAACTTATCTTCTGCTCCTGTAACCCTTCCTATTTGGCTGCCCTTACCCCTTACCCTTGTCTTCCTGGTGTCCAGTGCTGACCTCTCGAATTCCAACTCCGCCTTAGGGGTTCATGAATAAAAAGGTTTACTTTCATTAATTGCTTGCCTTCATTTGGCCACAATGGTTTTGATCGGTGCTCTTTCTTACATCTTTGGGATTAACAATATATCTGGCAAAACACTCATATACATTTTCTTCTTTGATTTTTCTTTTCTTTCTTTTGTTTTTCAAGACAGGGTTTTTCTGTAGCTTTGGAGCCTGCCCTGGAATTGGCTCTGTAGAATGCCAGGCTAGCCTCGAACTCACAGAGATCCTCCTGTCTCTGCCTCCTGTAGCGATATTTTGTTTGTGTTTTAACAAATGAAGCTTGCCTGAAGATCAGAGAGGCTAGGCAGTGGTGGCACACACCTTTAATCCCAGGAATTGGGAAACAGAGGCAGATGGAACTCTGTTAGTCCAAGATACCCTGGGCTACATAAGACTGAATCTGTCTAAAAGAAAAACAGAGCTCACCCAAAGGTGGTCTCAGCATTTGGGATCCCATGCCTTTAATTCCAGCACTAGGGAGGTGGAGACAGGAGTGATATGGCTGGGTGGAGAGAGGAATATAAGGTGAGAGGAGACAGCTCTGAGCTGTCTGAGGTTTAGTGGAGACAATTACAGTCTGAGGATGGGATTGTCCCTTTGGTCTGAGCACTGGTAGAGATAAAAGGTCTCTCTAGTGGCTGGTTGCTCTGCTTCTCTGATTGTTCTGCTATCACCAGATATCTGACTCTAGGTTGTAGTGATAAGAGCGGGCGGGCTACCCAGCCACCCGCACGGCTAGCTTTATACCTAAAATAATTACACAGAAACTGTATTCTTTTAAACACTGCCTGGCCCATTAGTTCCAGCCTCTTATTGGCTAGCTCTTACATATTGATCTAACCCATTTCTAATAATCTGTGTAGCCCATGAGATGGTTTACCAGGGAAGATCTTAACCTGCAGCTGTGTCAGGTGGGAGAATCATGGCGACTGCCTGACTCGGCTTCTTTCTCCCAGCATTCTGTTCTGTTTACTCCGCCTACCTAATTTTCTGTCCTATCAGGTCAAGCAATTTTCTTTATTAGTTAACCAATGAAAGCAACAGATAAGATACAAGACCCACCTCCATCACTAGGTTGTATTTATTAAGAAAAATTACTACATTCTCCCAAGTGCCTTTTTTAGTTTTTTGTTTTGTTTTGTTTTAGTTTTTTGAGACAGGGTTTCTCGTGTAGCCCTGGCTGTCCTAGAACTCACTTTGTAGACCAGGCTGGCCTCAAACTCACAGACATCTGCCTGCCTCTGACTCCCCAGTGCTGAGGTTAAAGCTGTGTGCCACCACTGGCCTGGATAGTCTTGTCTTTTCTTTTCTTGTTTTCTTTTCTTTTCCTTTCTTTTCTTTTCTTTTCCTTTCTTTCTTTCTTTCTTTCTTTCTTTTTTGAGCAGCTTTAAAGTATGTGATTCAGGCTCTAGTGTCCAACTCTGTCAGACCTTCCTGTCCATCAGCCCCAGGCTCCTTTCATGGTGCCTTCCCACACAGCTAGCATGAGCAGGAACACAGCTACAAAGTGCCCTGGGCAGGAAAGGAGGAGACTACTTTTGTTTCCTTTTTAAGTCTTCAGTGTTGAGGGGCAGAACCCAGAGCCTCCTAAGTGGAAGGAACGCACCCTTCAACTAAACTACACTCTTGCACCCTTGGCTCCTAGCCTTAGGGTTTTTACCTTGCCGTTGAGGGGTTTCTCATGTTTAGACTGAGGGGTCAGACAGCAAATGGCAGGAGCTGCAGGGAGGAAACCTCCTGCACAGGAAGCGAAAGAGAGGGAGATGAGCCAAATCCTACAACCACCACCATCCCCCCCCACCCACTCCCTGCCGAAGG